TGACAAGGAGAATTTGCCAAGCAATCAAGAGCTTCTTTAGTTAGCAATAATTTCTTTCATTCTAATGACCTTAATTTTCAACTCTGCAATGATAATGTGAGGAGAAATAAGACAGCTGTCATTCTTAGGGGTTAAAGGGGTAAGAGATGAAAATAGTGCCAGTAAGTGGAGCATACTTTTTACGAGCAAGAACAGTTATTTTAAACAGCCACTGATCACTGGAATTATGTGGTAGATGCCCCTTCAACCCAGGGGCACTTAAATCCCTCTAGGTGACCAGCTTCTTATTTCTATCTACAACCAATGTCACCCACAAATCATACATTAAGGTCACAAGAATAAAGGAAATGATCACCAACTAAAGAAGCTCTTGATTGTTAAACAAATTCTCCTTGTCAGCACCTTAGGAAATGTATAGAGAACAGCATGGAGAAGATGCATACCCATGTTATGGTGTATTGGGTCAGGTGTTCACCTTTCTTGGGATCAACTTCTCTTTCTTCCTCTTCAGCTAATAAACCACAGGTTGACTGCTGTTATAAGTAAGAAAAAGGTAAATAACCAGTTGGCATCAATTGACTGAAATAAAAACTTGAATAATAATTGAAAGGCCTTTATGTAAACTACATTGTGGTAATCAAATTGGTGCTTGCTGTAGGTGATGATGAAAGTTAACAAGCAAATCATTTTTGTTGCACTGTATTCACCATTTGGGAAAAAAGAAACAAATAAAAATCCTAACCTGCCCTTCATGGGCTAATCAAACCTGTAGCTGAACAAATGATATTTAGTTTCTGTATGTGCAAATTCAAGGAACATTGCATAATTTATATCTAGCACATAAATATATAGAATCACAACTTACCCCAAGAGCTGAAATGTCTCCTTTATTCTGTACAACTGCATTTGCTCTCTTTCTACTGTACTCCAGCCGTCTTCCCTAAATATTGCATAACAACATATATGATATACAGTGAAACTTAATGGTCACTAGCTCTAAGTGCAGGCTCTTCAGGTCTAGATCTGCAGACAATCTAACAAGAGCAAAGCCCATAATTATGAAATGTTGCAACTCTGTTATAGCTGAAACTTAGGGTTTGGAGTTCCATTGTTAGTAATGGTTATTTTGAACAGTCCTGAATAATTTAGTGGCAATTATTGCCAGCAATTCTACACAGTTGTTGATCACTTCTCTTCCCCTAACCTTTTTCCTTTTCCTTTCACTGATCCAATCATTAGGGAAAGGTACATGTCTGAAATAAGAGTCATGTCTGTCTGGGCAGCATGGATTTGCTAGCCAAAAGAGCAGGGTATGGTTGTTCAAAGGGTGAATATCACTATCCATTGAAAACATTTTTAACCCTTGGATAGCCCAGTACATTTTGCTAACACTTATCCACTGGATAGCAATTTATCCATTGGCTAGGGCTATCTCTCCTTTGAACAACTGAGCCCAGTATTCTATCTGGAAGCTAGCTGGCAAAAATGAAATCCCTTAGATATATCCCTTGCATCTACCTTTCATTCACATGAGGCAGCTGGTTAAACAAATAAAAAGGTTGAGTTTCCTAAAAAAAACTGTGGCACTGCATCAGCAGGGAGTATTACAGCATATATGGTATTAAATGTGAATTGGCCACCATACAGAGTTTCCAAAGCTGACCTTTCAAGAATGATTAGCCTAATCATTTAGAGTGAACAGAACTGATGTTAAATTTATAAAATGCATTTTCTTCATGTTGACCCACAAACTGACTCAAACATTTTTATGCATCAGACCACACAATAAGTATGGCAGCAGCTAGTACCTGAAGCTCTTGAAGCCAGAACATCATAGTCTGCTTATCTTTTGCTTGCAGCTGATAGGTTCTTCCAGATGTGCTATGGAAGTAAAAACATTTGTAAAAAAAAAAATTCAAACCTATACCAAAATCCCCCTAAGTAAGCATATATTTATCTGCTTCCCCATTTGAGCACTCCTAAGACAATACTAAGATGTCCTTGAAGTATGTTGTCAGACAGCATATTGAAAAGATCATCTTTGATTCAGTATCTAAAAATTTTCTCACCAAATCTGAAACTGTGTTAGTCTGTCTGAATCTTCAACTTCAAAAGTGAAAGATGCATTCGCCAGATCAATAGAGCTGAAAATCAAAATAACACACACAGTCTACACAAACTGGACATATATCACTCTGATTTGACTCAGTGATTATTTTATTTGTTCTGAGGACTCATAACCTTCATGTTTAATTTAAAGGTGATACTGTGAAGAGAAATTAAAAGCCAGTCACTCCTAGGGCTTAAATGATGAAGCAAATTGTAAGCCTGTTCTGCATATACACTGTGTCAAGAAGTGAAGATCAGGGACACTATAATTCTACACAGTTCAAATGGAACATATTTGCAATCGCTAGCAACGTTACCTACCCAAGAGGTGTACTGTCCTGAGGAGTACGGAAATAATACAACCTGCACTTCCTCTCCTCATACAGAAACCATCTTGTTTTCCATGTTTTTATTCCCTTTGCTACAATGTAATGAACAAACAGGAGAATAGAGAGAGGATTGTTCACAGTTATTCTTGTTTATATCCTTTAACCTTTTAGCTGACCCATGATCAGATAACTTATTGGAAATTCCAAGGGAAAGTTACCTGACTGTTACTGCGCTGTACTGATAATTATATGAGAAGCTGAATCCTACACGCAAGGTTCTTACTTGTGACCTATTAGAGGACACTGACACACAAATGACATCACCATTGACAACATTTTGCTCTTTCTCCATATAAAAAAATAGACTCCATGTCACCATTGGTCTGTATAGTAAAAGATCACAGTAGACATCAAAAATGTAAGAAAATCAGTGACACACTCAGCTGCATCTTGTTTGCCACTTTTTTCTTTGTACCACATTTTGATATCATCTGCGATCTATAACTGAAAAGATGCAGTATGGCAACATGGAATCTGTTTTCTATAATTGATTTACTACAACTTGGAAATGGAACTTTATAAAAAGTCCTATTTTTTACAGGAGGGGTCACGTTTTCATGGCACCAATCCATAACAATAAGTAAAAGAGTATAATTTAGACATAGGTTAACCCTTTACACCCTAAAATCAGTATCCATATTCTCTATACTCTCATTCATATGTTTCTTTTAGTACTGACAAGGAGAATTCATGTGAAGATTAAAGCTTCTTGGGTTGGCAATAATTTTCTTCATTCTCATTCTCTTAGTGAATGATTCAGCAGTATTATTGTGGGGAGAAATTAGATACTGGTCACTCTTTGGGTTTAAAGGGTTAAATAAAATCTACTTACCACCCAGCTTGTTCAAAAATCCACAGAGTGTTGGTGTTCCACTTGTAATTTTCTATAAAAAGCAAAAAAATTTACCACTATCAGGCTTAAAAGAATCCATTAAGGAATTCTTTCACTTTCAACAGTGATCAGTAAAGAATATCAATGAATATACAAACATCACAAGAGATAATGAAACACGAAAACATCAATTAACATTTTTTTTTTTTTAAGACAAATTCTCTAATTTACTGTGAGAGGAAATGAGTGGCAGTAAAAGGAATTAATATCGAGGTCAGTTTCCTCTTAAAAGACACTCATGCTGATCAAATGACAAATCTCCTGTATATGCAGATACACACAACTACACCATTTAAATTGATTCCTATTGAGTACTTTAAATAAAACTCTTCCCCAACTGATTTGTTAAATAATCAATAGATCATTCAGTGAGCCTGGCGGATAAGAAAAGGCATATTGAACAGCTACAGGGATAACAATATCTTGATCTAACATTATTTTAATTGTACGTCACAGCTTCAAGGGGAAATAACAAGTCATGGTCTTTACTATTCCTGACTATGTAAAACTATTTTTCAATAATCAAAATTACTTAAAATTGAATGAGACCTCTTCACTCAAAGCAAGTTGAGGCGAGAGAATTTATATGCACCTGCACACCCTGGCTCTGAGGATTGTCTTTATTTACAGGCCAAAGTGTTCATACAATCAGAGAATTGTGCACTTAACACCCATAATGAATGTTATTTTTATTGGAGAGAGTTGGAGAGCAAAAGGTTTATGATGTTATCAAAGAGAGAGAGGCTAGAGTAACTGGCAACTCGATCATAGCCCATGTTATACGGAAAAAGATAGAAAGTGAAAAATCGCAACATTTCTGCAATTCTCTGCGAAAAAGAACATATTCCTTTCGATTTACTTCACAAATATCACTTACTGGCTTCGACTGCACACTTAACTAAATTCAACACTTCCTTGTTCTGTAAGAATCGTAACGTATCAGCTGTGACGCAGAACTTTCTGTGCATGTTCCGTGGTACAACTTCGGTAGGGGCATGCTTTTTGACGCCGGCACGTAATTATCTACCACGTTATTAACAATTATACAAATTCATCACGAACCGTACATCGTCAAAACTGTTTCTCACGTGTGCACTTGGGGTCGTAACGAACTTGCCGCGGTTCGAGAGCTGAAGACACATTTTCGTGTTCCTGAATTTAACCTCTCATTAAAACATGAGCGCACAATGCACGTTGAATTATTTACCTTTGACTTACTACTGCCCTCATTGTTTTCCTGCGAGGTCTCAGTGTTCTCATCAGGGGTTTCTTTATTGATTGTTGAGTGTTGAATCTCAGACGGCACGGAAACGAGCTCCCAAGAATCCTCCATGTTTTGGAAACTTAAATGCGTTGGACTGGGACCACCAGTAAGTTCGTAAGATTTTCGGAAGGAGGCCGGAAGGATGCCAGCTGTGCCAAATGTGATCGATCAAAGAAGAAAGATGAAAAAACCCCTCGCCTGTGCGAATAACTCTTTACTTTAATGAAAGCTTTTGTAACCAAAAACCACGCTTATTTTAAATATTTATCCCGGAAACCGTGGATTAACCAGATCTAAGAGAGGTCATTCCTCGCAGTCCAGCAATTTCCGAACTTTACCGACATAACTCTACCGTCGTAACATGTTTTGGTCCCAGTTTCCCATCCTCCTCCATGCTTTTTACGTGCGGGGTATGATTTTTAGCAAGAAAAATTAGACTGAAACCACGAAAAAAAAGGTTTTTATTAACAGGATAAGTGTTGAAGGTGGGTTTTTTTCCATATTTTTACTGCACTGCCTAACTGAGAAATTTTTTTACCTTTAAGAGATATTTTTTTATCCTTAAGCGGCCAATATGATGCCAAAATGGCGACCTACCGGCAAATTTAATATTTCGGCATGTATTGCATAAGTGTGATGCCTTTGCCGTGGAAGACTGTTAAGAATTGATCGTGATTCAAAGAGGATAATCTTAGGTACATAAATTGTTCTAGTGAAATCATCACCCAGGCTAGATTGACGCAGACTGAAGCGGTGAGGCAGCACGCAGTTATGTCAACACGTGGTAATCCATGTGCGTTTGACTGAAATATTTGATTGTAGTTCAGAGTAGCCTTCTGTTGATTTTTTATTTATCAGAGTGCATAACTACATTATTTTGACAAGGCGTGGTGGGACGTTATAAGTTTTGTTCATGCATGCCCTTCTTAAACTTGTTTAATATGTGTGCTTTGCAGAGGGGTAGAGACATTTTAAAACTGTCAACGATCCCAACTAAATTGACTTCATAGCACTGCAAGATTTCTGCACAGCCCCAAGCTTGGTAAAATTTCCGCACAGCCTGATACTGCATTATGCATTCAGTTCTTGGATAGAGAAAACATTGACAAAAACCATACAATGCCATTGGGAAAACAAATTTGTTTTACAATAGTATGGGGCTGTGTGGAAATTTACCTTAAGCTTTACTATGTTTGCAGTTCTTGAATAAGGAAACAATTTGTGAAAAAAATGATGAAAACTGTAAATTGCCTTAGGGACTATGGCTTTACTTTGCAACAGTATGGGCTGTGAGGAAATCTTACACACAACTTTCTGCAGGAAGCAGCTTTGGATTCAGAAAGGATTCTTTTTTGTGGGGAAACATCAACTAGAAATTAGCTGTCTTATAAGCAATATATGAAAAATAACATCCAAGACTGTCATGAACAATTGAAAGGCTCAGAGCAAGAACGACCCCTTGATTTTTTGGCCATTTTTGAAAGTGTTCAGAAGTAGTTGAATTTTGGCATGTGGACTTAGTTTTACTCAATATACACTGTTTTGATTTTTTTTTCACTGGTTTGCGCTTCGTTTTCGAGAAATAACGTATGCAAAAAACCTTGAATTTCGTAGCGGCTTTCATTGAATGAAGCCGAAACAAAAGAAGCCTTTTGTTTCATCAAAACAATACAGCCCCCGAGAACTTATTGACTTCAAAAATCCCTGCAAGAAGCAGCTTTATATTCAGAGAGGATTTCTTTTTTTCATAGTGAAACATTAACTAACTGCACCATCTCATGTTGGATATAATCACATCCAGTATTAATGGGTAGCCATATGTGACCTTTGTTCATTTAAAATTAGGCAGATAGTCATGCAATAGTTAGCTAATAGAGATTTTTAGATTCCCATCGTAGCCCACATGAAGTGTCAAGGCTTTGTCAACAACCAACCAACTATTTAATTATTTGTTTATCAATTGATATATTTTTGGGAAGCAGGGTTTTTCTCCAAGTCCTCCAGTTTTTCTACCTCCACAGAAACCAATATTCCAAATTCCAAAGTGACCTAGAAACAGTGACAGGAAGAGTCACCTCATGGATTGTTCACTACTAAATAATTATTATTGTCATTATTAACGATGAAAATTTAAATTATAATTTAAGTACTTTTGATAGTTATCATGGTGACAAATTGTTTTTTGTTTTTAGACCAGAGATCAACCAAAGGGGTGTGAAATTCCAAAATGTCTGCTTCACTGAGGAGAGCCAGCATGCTGCTGTTAACAAGAATGAGGAATCATCCATCAAATCACAGTTTGAGAACTGTTTATTCTGTAACCAAAAGGTAAAACACCAGCCCAGCACTGTTCTTTAATTTTAGTTGGCTTATGACAGGGTTACAGAAATTCATTTCTGTGCACTGTAAATATATTTCTTTACTCGCTAATTAAAATGCTTGAGGCAAAATCATCCTTGCAATTTTTTTTGGTCATTTATAAATTGTGTTATATTTAAGGAATGTTTGCATGTGGCACTTTTGTAGTTGAAAAACAAGGTTGCAAACTTTCCTCTCCAGTTTTCTCTTTGTTTTCAGAAAAGAACCTACAATCCTGGACAAAACTGTTGAGACAGTTGAACAAATTTCATGTCAATTTGCAACTGTCTCTATTAAGACCAGACATTCTCCTCCTCATCCCCCATCAATCAGTGTTGTATTATACGTTGGTTACATCTTATGCAATCAATTTTCTCTATTATTTCAAGTAACATTGAATTGGGAGAGGGGTAAATGTGCTTTTTGAGAGGGAAATATTATTGATATTTCTTGTAGGAGTGTAATCTAGATTTGTGGCAACAGGTTTTGTCTAAGATGATACTGTACAGGTGTTTTCAGTACTGTAGGTATGCAAAACTGTCCACCTCCTAAGGGTTGGATTTTTTTAGACTTTTGAGATTCTTCAAATGCACTGAAAGCTAAGCAAGCCTTTGGTTTTGTTAAAAGTGAAACTGGAGGAGCAGTGCTTGACTGATTACTACCAGTACCTGCCAAATGTCTACCACTTATTGCAAATTTTCCAATGAGACTTTGTGCAAATAAATGTCCTTGAATAAATAAATGTGTTTTATTCTCCAGGTCTCCCAGTCCAGTCAGTTACCAGCTACCAAGAGCACTGTCAGTGTTGCATCCTCAAATACAGGTACTTATTTTATGGATGAGTTCAATAAAACAATGCCCTGTTTCACCAAATACTGTCCTGAAAATTGTGAAAGTGACTAAATAAATTCTACTTTTTATCAGCCTTGGAACCAACCAAGAGATTGTTAACATTTTTTGAGGTTGTGTTACCAAGAAAAATGAAAAATAAAGTCTTTCAATAAGATTTGAAGTTCTGATCTTCTGATTTCTTGTTCAGGCATTCTACTACTGAATTACAGGGAACTTTTTTGTAAGCTAGGCTATTTACAAGATTCACATGTAACAGATGTCCTGCAAACTACCATAACCTGAACATTGTCAGGAGCACCATGTTGATTTTTAATGAAATAAAAAGAGATGATGAATTTTAAAATCACTTGTCAGGGATACTTTGTGTGTTTCCCACTCTCATGGCAACTTTCACCTTTCTTCAATGGAATATTTTGGTCCAATATGTGTGTTAAATTGAATTGAAGCCTGCTCAGGGTGCATTAGCTTTAGCGGTAACTAATTTTTGAGATTAGGAGAAAATTACCTGATGGTACATGTACTCATAATTTTATTTTATTTTAATGGTATAATACAGTATATTTATATTAGTTTGCTTTGAATTCTTAGGAAGTGGATTCAAATGGAAAAGAGCTTGAATCAGGGGACTTCTCAAAATTTAGATTATCTCAAGAAACTGTTGAGCTTCTGAAAGGTTGGATTGATTTTTTCCTTCTGATTGACAGATTTGTATATTTTCATAGAATTTATCCAAAGTAAAATATAGGTCACATAACACTGATTGTGGTGCTCTAACTCTGGCAGTAGTATGACAGTTTTTATAGAAAAACACAATCCGAAATTTTAACATGCTTTGTTTTCATAAACACTTTCTTGTAACTGACAATGCAATTTTTATTTTCAGCAAAGAACATTACTCATCTTTTCCCAATCCAAAGTGAGACGTTTGACTTCATTTATAATGGTGAAGATGTTATGGCTCAAGCAAGTAAGTCTAGGAATATTTATGTTATTTCATGTTATTCCAAAATGAAAGTGAATTCAGTAAGTGAGTCGATGTAAATGAAATTATTTACTAGTAGCATGCTGAAAATGTCTTATCTTGACCAGTGGATGATCATTGACAATTTTAAATTACATAATTCAGCTGAACTTCAATTACAGAAATTACAAAACTGTAAACCTTTAGAAAAAATGGGGCTTGAATGAGTGCCTCCCAGATAGTAAATATCAAACAATTTTTTAACCCTCTGACTCCCTCCCATGAGTGACCAAGACAGAATTTCTCCTCACAACATCATACAATATCAAACAGATAGGTGATGAGAATAAAGAAGAAGATCAATTTGGAGTTTGGTCAATTTCTTTACTTTATTTTAGTTTTGTTACATATGAGGACAAATTTGTGACTCATTTAATAAATATATTTTTCATGTTTAATAGGGACAGGCACTGGGAAGACAGTAAGTGGAAATTTTTCTTGTTATCATTTAAATAAGTGCAAGTACCAAATGGACTGGAGCACAAATAAAATTACAACCAGTAGGATTCCAATGATTTGTCCATATTTTCTATCTTCAGAGATAAAATCTTGTGTGAAGATAAATTAAAATAAACATGAAACATTAAAATTTTGGCTTCATGTTGATGATATTTATGTTCTTTATTTCATAGCTGTCCTTTATATTACCTCTAATTGAAAAACTCAAGTTAGAAAATCGGTCTGAATCTTATAGACAAGCTCCAAAGGTATGTGCAAAGGCTCTGAGAAGACATTAAGATTTCCCTAAGAACCTGAGTTTACTGTGTTTCTTTTAAAATGTAGTACAAAATTAATGGTTACTTAAGATTTGCAGGCAGGTAGTTTCACAGGCCTGGTAGGCCTCATGTTTCTTGGGAGGCTCAAGCTCACCCTAGCATATTTTCAAAATATTAGCTCTTGCAATAGCATTCTCCTATTTGATGAGGTCTTTTCCAATTTATGCTGCTTTGTCAGTCCAATAGGTCAATCAATTTTACTGAATTTGAAGAGAATTTTATGTATGTGTAGAGTGTGATGACATTTTGGTAAAGGTTGCAAGTGGGTAGCCAGTGCATAACAAGTGGATTGATCTACCTGCTACCTGGCTGTTATTTTAATCTCTCCCTCTTGCTAAAGGTCCTGTTACCCAGTAGATATCATGACTCTTTCATGGGGAAGTATTGTTGTGGAAGAGGTTAATCTCTTAATTTAAAAATATAATTGGTACTTAAATATTCATATGTATGCTTACTCTTGTGTGTGTACTTGAATGTACAGTGTACAAGATACTTTCTCATTGTTTGTTGGTACAAACAATCCAACAAACAATCTAACACAACGATTCCTTAAATATGTAGTAAGTCTGATAAACAAAGATAATTACAGTTTGGTATGATTTGCAACAACATTCCAATCATGTTTTAGGTGTCACAATATAAAATTTGCAAAATGATGTAGGAACTAATCTAAGACAGAAATCTACAATTTGAAATGAAAGGAAAGTAAAATACAAATAACGTAAAGCTGTTGGACTTGAATGGTACATGTAGATCCTTCAGCATAAAATACAGTTCAACCTTATGTGTCCCCCTGACCGTGTGTTCACTGGAAAACAGAGGACAAGTTATGCAATTAAAATGCAAGTGCATTTGATTGGAAGTCTTATCTATTTCAAACATCAAATAATCAGTGAAAAATAGAAATCAATTAGGAGATCATTCAAAACACTTGTTGTATGTTGTAGGTGTTGGTTTTGGCACCAACAAGGGAACTTTGTAAACAGGTAGGAATCTTTTTTTTAATTCTCAAAGTACATGTAATTGCAATTATAATAATTGTAATTTTAAATACGGTAAGTTTCATAAGCTTTTCATTAACTTTTCCCAGCATCTAATTTCTCTTTACCATATCACCCTGAATCAAACATTGAGGTCAGGAGAATAAAAGAACTGATCACCAACCAAAGAAGCTCTTGATTGTTAGACAAATTCTCCTTGTCAGCACCTTTAAGTAAATGTATAGAGAGCAGTATGGAGAATATGAATATTGATGTTAGGGTGTGAAGGGTTAAGTAGCTTTACTTGAATTTGGATCTCTTTGTGTTAGTCTGTTATATTTTTGAAAGCTTTGATCATAAAATTCCTGATTTACTTGTCATATTTCTTTAAAGTGAAGTACCTCATTACTATTTGTTTGTGATAAAATTTTATGAGTTTGGAAGAAACATTTTTGAGTTTTTGTAACTCACAGCTAATCTATTGGCACTGACAAGTAAATTGAACCCCCTTTACTTTATCTTTACAGATTGGTGGTGAATTTGACTATTTCAAATCAGGTCTAAAAGTGGGCTGCTTTTATGGAGGAGTTCCAGTCGGCCCCCAAGGTAAGTGACATCGCAGTTGACAGATGTAAATAACCTTGATCTCATCCTCTGTCATTGTAGACAGCTTGTAAGAGAGAGCTTGTTGGCATTACTAGCTCACAATCTTTCTCTGAGCTACCATGTTTAAGTCAGGAATTTCCATCTCTCCCCAACCTTCCTCAATTGTGAAAATCGAAAATGATGGCCAGACTTCTCATTAAGAAATAAATGAACTAAAATGGAACTGTAAATGTAAATTTACTTGGGAACAAAGGAATAAAGAAACCAGAATTAAGATTTAACCTTGGTTTAGTGCTAAATGGTCTTCGAACAACTGGGTCCAGATAATTAACCCTTTTGCTCCCAAGATCTCTGAGTAATTCTCCTTACTGTCTGCCATACAATTCTAATGATGTCAGGTTGGAGGATTTGGTTATGGATGGATCAATAATCCCCTAATTTTTTTTCTTTTCCCATTACTTGTCTGCTTGATATCATATTGATACTGTTAGGAGAAATTATTTCTTGGTCACTCATGGGAGTTAAAGGGTTAAGGTGGCTCTCCATCTACATTACAGACTCTCTTTAGCCTTCCTCAGTTGTAAAAATCGAAGATGGTGGCCAAACTCTTCATTAACCTTGATACTCTGATTGCAATTCAATGAACATGAGTATGGATGTGACTTATCATTAAAATGTTTGTCTTGTTTTGATGGGCAATAATTGTAACTTAGGATCACTAATTTGTTTTTTGTTATATTGACTTTGGCAGCTGATGCAATTGAAAGAGGTCTGGATATTGTAGTTGGAACACCAGGAAGACTCATGGATCACGTGGTTAACGGAAGTCTAAACCTCAGAGAGTTGAGGTAATTTTGAATTCTTCTTGTATATGAAAAGAAAATTACACCTTGTTTACCCATAATGACTTCTCATAAGTATTTGAAGTATTTTGGAGTATGAATCAAGTAAATCTACAATCGAACCTGTCTCAAGCAGTGCTGTATTAATCAGTTGTTTGTCAAAGTCTCGAAATTCTTTCTCCTTTGCTACTGAAACTTTCACCTCTGGTCTTGCTCACCCTTTACTAAGTCTCAACAGTCTGTTTGTTTTGTCCTCCACCTGTAATGAACGGTCACTTAAAGAGAACTCCCCAAATAAGACTAACTATAATCTCTAAAGTAAAATTTATTCCATGTTTGCCTCTTGGGTATCTCCCGAAATCAGTGTTAGCACTTTGTGTTCAAATGTCCTCAACGCATTGCAGATTGTTTTTCTTCTTAGGACTGTTATGATCGTTGAATATTTGGTTTTTTATAAGATTGTAACATCAATTTAATAGTAGTTTAAGGCCTCATTTAAACTTTTGTTAGTGTTATGGTTAAGATGAAATGGCATTTTTTACCGTGTTTGACCCTTAAAAACCTATGGTAAGCGGTCACCTTGCTATTCCCCGTGGGTGACTGCCTAATATTGGTTCGACTTTATTGTTAAATTGCCGCTACATCTTGCAACCGGTGTTACGATTTTCTTTTAATCATAACGTAATCATAATGTTTTATAGGTATGTGGTCATCGATGAGGTTGACAGGATGTTAGATATGGGATTTTCAGACGTTGTTGATGACATTCTTCAAGAATCATACAGCTACGGTAATTAAAAATAGACATTTTACAAGTTCGAGCATGTGCATTGACTTAAAGCAAGTTATTTATTTCAAAACAGTGCAGAACGGGAGGTAAAGAGATGAAATTGATATTATAGACATCTCAACATTGGTTAAACGCATGCGCGGCAGTTATATAGCCTTGCAGTGACTCGAATTTAGCAAAAAAAGTCGTCCTTCCAAATATTTGTCCCTAGGGACACTAAGAACCATGAAATGAAAGGACGTAATTTGAGCAAGTAATTTGAGCACAGGCACTCTTATTTCAAAAGCAGCTGTTTCACGTTCCATAGTCAATGATCTTTAATGTAGTTGAAGGGCTCAAATAATATGTAAATTTCGCCTTCTTGAAGCTAAGAATGTCAAAATTGGTTCATTTGTATATTATGCACACAACACAATATATACTAGTCAATATATCTTACGTCCTCAACAAACCATTGACGCTGGCAACGTAGAGAAGGTTCCTTCGATTTATAGTCCTCACCTGAGAAAACAACATTTTCCAAGGATTTGCAAATTAAGTAAACCTGTAAGTCGTTCAAAACTGAACAATGATATGGGCAAATCTTCGCAGTAATGAATACCATTACGATACCGGTGCAGTGTTCTACCAGCTACCAACATAATGATATGCTTCCTGTTGGCTTGTTAACTCAGTTGGTAGAGCATTGCACCGGTATCGCAGAGGTCATGGGTTCAAATCCCGCACAGGCCTGAATTTTTTCAAGGCCTTGTTATTTCACTACTGCCCAAGTAGTGATAATTACTGCGAAGATCGCTTTCATATTCATTACTTAAACCGCAGTTCACATTACTTTCATATATTCACAGTCATTGAGACAGACAAACGTTCCTCTTCAATAATGATAATGTACAAGTATGTCACGCCATATGCGTGCGCCGTAGCGTGTAGCTAAGCCAATCAGATTGAAGTATTTGTTATATTTCCCTCGTAGATTCGCGCCAACACCAGTTGTAATAAAACTTTTAGTATCGATTTGTCTGGGGGTCGGACTCTCCCGTCCAGTCCGTCTGGTGCATTTCTAATTCAGCTAGCTTGGCGGCAGTAACATTGCGATTCTCTTGACTCATCTCGTGTGTGTTTCATTTTAGGGGAGAAGCCTCAGGCATTGTTGTATAGTGCAACATTACCATCATGGGTTCACAATACAGCCAAAAAGTATATGAGTGAAGACAAGAAAGTAGTGGATCTTATCGGGACACAGTCACTGAAGGCAGCTGAAACTGTGCAGGTAGATATGTTTATCTTAATTTCTTATCCTTTGTAGGTCGGAATCACTTGTTACCTTAACACATCGACGAAACGCAAGTTCAATTTGCTTCCAGGACACCCAAAACAAAACAACTTCATTCAAATTTCCCTCGTTTTGGGTTTGTTCTCCAGTAAGGAGTGTTTTGCCTTTGCTTTGTTTGTTTGTTTGTTTTTTTGTTTGTTTTCGTTTTTCGTGTTTACTTCTTGTTGTTGTTGTTTTTTTTTTTGTTGCTATCATGTGATAACCTCTCAGGCAAGGTATGAATTGTTCTCGTCTACTGTAAAAGTTTGTTGCGGCTTGTAAAACTTTGTTTGCGGCCGCAGGCTCTTTGAAATCGAACCCCCGTTTGCGACCAGCTTTCGTAAGCAAGCGCTAAAAATTTTCAGTTCAGACAGTTTGTATTATTTAGTAGCAGAAGCGCAAAGAAGTCTTGTGCCAATTTTGAGTTATGCACACCAACTATTTTAACATAACTAACATATGGTGATTTTCGTAGTACCGTACTGATCAGATTTGATTTTTTTATCTATTCTAGCACTTGGCAGTCCAGGCCAACAAGGATAACTTGGCTTCCGTAATAAGTGACGTTGTCCAGGTTTGTGAAAGTCAGAGAGATTTTAAAACTCTTTACACCCCAACATCAATATTCATTTTCTCCCTACTCTTCCCTATACACTCTCTTTGGTACTGACAAGGAGAATTTGTTTCACAATCAAAGCTTCTTAGTTTGATGATCTTTTCCATTACACTCATGACCTGAATGAATGATTCAGCATTATTACTGTAAGGAGAAATTGGAGATGGTCACTCTTACAGCTGTAACTTGCAAGAGTTAAGCATGATGTTTACGGCAAATGTTAATAAAACCCTCAAATTAACTCTTCTTGCCTTCCGCGTTCAGCCATTTGTGCGCTAGAATGAAATTATTTGATTGATTGCTGTTTTTGTACCAGTTTAGTATCTCCTGTAGCTAATTGTTCTTAACTTCAGCGGGCAGACAATGGGTTATGAAATAAACTTTAAATGTTTTCAATGGGTTATCGGTGCAATAAGTGATAGGTTTTTGACCAATCAGGGCGTTCCTAACATCTCGGTTATGTTACTGATGTTCTCTGACATTAGGACATCTTTGTTTTTTTTTCTCTTCACCTCAGGTATACTGCGGCGCCCACAGCCGAACGCTCATTTTTACCGAAACAAGGAACGAAGCAAGCTATTTGGGATTGAATTCTGTCCTCAAGCAAGTATGTTATAGCTTTAGGCAGGCTCACTGGTGTCAAATTCTAAAGCTAAGATTCTTAGGTATAATTTCGATTTGAGGGATATAGTCCTCTAAAATCAATGCTTAATTCAGATCAACGGTTGTCCTGCCGAACACAACCGTTAAACGTCTGCGCATTTGCGAACGGTGTAATGACTTAGTGGCGTGCTTTCAGGGTGTCAGAACCAAGTTATCTCAACTGCACAGCCTAGTAAGTCAGGGTGTTTTAGAAGCGTAAAACCTTTTTTGATAAAGCTCTAAACAAAACGGTAACGCAACAGGACACGTCTTACTCGAATAAGCTTTTTGTTCGAAAAGTCGAAAAGTTTTCCTTTTCCTTATTTTTATGTCCTTTCCAGTACAGATTTCTATGAACGTTTCAATTTTCGTTTGCTTATTTTTCGAGACAGCAGTTGTTTCTCATGTTTTCCTTTGAAACTCTGCGCGGAAGTTGGTGCAGTCAGCCAACCTCATGATAGAGTGCCTCCCCATTGCTGTCAAAAATCCACGTAAACAAGCAATGAGCCTCCCTTCCAGGCACCCGTCAATCAAACTTCTCGAGAACTCAAAGGCATTAGTTATAACGCAGTTACACACACTATATTAGCCTGCATATGTGACACAGACTGCTGACTTGGAGAGCCCGCTACGGTCTTTGTTTTTTAAACTTTATCATTTTACAAAAGTTAACGGTGTTCCATCGTTATTGTTGTGTCTTTCTGACAGTAGTAGTGTAACATCTATGATCCTGCTATTTTTGTTATATTTAGGATGCACAAGTTCTTCATGGAGATATTAATCAAGAACAGCGAGAGATAACCTTAAGGGTATGTGTCCTGTCGTCGCACCTAACTGTATTATGAATTTAAGGGTGTCCAGGAAAATTTACATTTAAATGTTGCTTTTTGCGATGATGTGTCATTTTTGTGAGGGTGAACCAAAGCAAAACAGTCCTTGATTTGTAAGGTTTCTCAATTAACCCTTTAACCCCCAAGAGTGACTAGCATCTAAATTCTCCCTATAGTATCACCCCTAAATCAAACATTAAGGTCATGAGAATATTGGAAATGATCAACAAGTACAGGAGGTCTTGATTGTTAACCAAAATCTCCTTATCAGCACCTTAGGAAGTGTATAGAAAACAGAATGGAGAATATTCATACTGATCTTATGGTGTAAAGGGTTAAAATTTCTCTATTCATTTTGCCCAAACACTGATTTTTTTTTTCCCAACGAATTGTTTGTCGTTAGAGTTTTCGCGAGGGAAAAGTACGGTGTCTTGTAGCCACAGATGTTGCAGCAAGAGGTTTGGATATTCCTGAAGTGGACCTGGTTGTTCTAACGCAACCACCAAAGGTGAGTGTGAAAGAACATTCTCTACATTGTTTTCTGGCTCCTTCAGTTCAGTTTTCTAACTGTCATTCATTAAGCTCTCTTTTGGCTGTCCTTCGCAACCTCTCGGTATCCAAAACGAGTCAATTCCGTCGAAATCGTAATTCAGATCATAACACGCAATTTGGAGATAACAAACTCGTATTTAGCCACTAAAGGTAGGACAAATTGGTGATAAATATCGAGCTATTTTGTGGAGACAAACCTAGCTTTAAATTAACGGCCCGCCAAAGTGACCAATCATGATGCACTTAGCAATTTTAGCGATACCTCGACGCACCAAAATTACTTTTTCTTTTCGTTTTGTTTTTTCTGTCGTCATTTGCATCTCGTTTTACTTAGAAAAAACTTTATGCTTTGCCTTCTCAACCAACTTTTATGATTACAAAGAAGTTGCATATTAATCCTTGAACTCTCAGAATTGATTAACGTGTAAATTCTTCCTGTAATATCCACAAATAATCCAGCAAACTGTTGCTAAGAATAATCAAACTTATCAGGTAGAAGTTGTTATCTTGATCTAACGCCAAATCCCTGTGACCGATTTACAAGAAAAGGTGAAGCAGCGAGAGCGGAGAATTAACATTCAGATCTTGGGAATTAAAGGGTTAATTTTTGTGTCCCTTCAGGATCTTGACATGTACATCCATCGTTCAGGAAGAACGGGCAGGGCCGGCCGTAATGGAGTAAGCGTTGTAATTCACGGTCCAGGTCAGCTGGCGCAGTTGCGTGCAGTGGAGAAAAGTACTGTAAGTGTATCATTGAAGTTATTGTAGTTTAGTTTTGGGCACATTCAGTAGCATGTTCCTCCTGTAAGCAACTTTAAGTCGCTGGTAGTGTGGCATAAAGAGTTTTTAGAATTGCTATTTCGCAAATTTGTGATTTTGTAGGGTTTGCAATGACAAGTTTTTTTTTTCCTTTTTTTTTTCTGCGGGGCTAGGTGACTAAATGTGCAGCTTGGGGTTCAAACAGCAGATCTAAACATTAATTTTTCTTGGGTTATCAAATGAGTAAGAGTACAATTTGGAGTCGATATAAACAAGTGAATGTCCAAGAGACTAAACAATTTGTAATCTTGAAAAATTAACCTGTGCTTTATATTCATTTTAGATTTCACTAGATATCATTTTATTACGCAAAAGAAATAACGCTGTGTGTTGATGTTTTGTAGTTCAGTCGAAAGTGTTAATTATTCAGATCCTTTAAAGGTTACATATGTTATTCTTAGCGATCCGTCAAGGGCTGGAGGATTTTGGGGGATCACGTGGTTTTTAGGGGGAACAGAGGGGAGATCAGTCGTCGCCAACAGTGTGTAAAGGGGGACTGTGGAGAATCAGGGGGATCACGTGGTTTTAAGGGGAACAGAGGAAGGATCGGTCGTATACAAAAAAATAATATAGAAAATTGACTGCTAGTTGACTGCCATTGAAGGGGGAGGGGGGTACGATGAGAATGGTACAGAACCTTATAGGGGGATTAGGTAAATTTGATCGTGCTACATCCAAAATACTCCGACCTCCCCATCCTCAGGCGATGATCAATGACTGGTCCCTGAACCCTTTTACTCCTAAGATCTCATCAGCGATTCTCCTTACTGACTTCCATACAATTCTTATGACGTTAGTTCCGAGAATTTGGAGTTGGATCAACTGATAATCCCGTAATTGATACTTTCCCTGTTCTCATCACTCTTTTGCGTGATACTGTATTGATATTGTAAGGAGATGTTCGGTCTTGGTCACTAATAGGAGTATAAGCGTGCTCTATGAGAGTATAGGGTTAATACATCTGCCAAATCGTACTATGTCCGACCTTTTCCGGGACTTCTTTCTAGCTTTTCTTTCTGTATGGATATTATTGTTTGTCACGGGGATTGATTAATCACGTATTTGGTTCAAACTTTTTTACCTTCATGTTTTGTATAGTCATTTATTTGTTGATACATTGACAAGTTAATGTATTTATTTCAGGGTATCAAATTTAAGCGCATTACACCTCCATCAGCAGACGATATCATTAAGGCGTCTGCTTCTGATGCAGAAAGGTAAGAACATACTTTTTTGAATCCTAAAGACACCCCTTAAAATAAATAAGGGTAAGATTTCCGTCAGCAGTTGCCCCGGTTTCCATAGCATGAGGGGAAAAAGAGTATCACTCTGGGTATAGCTGTTTTTTTCTTGGACGGGTTCCACTCCAAAGCACATAACCTTTCCACCCACCCGTCCCCCTCCAACTTTTGTCTCCCCATAATTCCTCAGGTGTTTTTACTTCTGGCCCTGATTGTTTGATGGCTGAATATGTACTGTGTATTCAGTGTGTGCTCGAACTCGTTTGCATCGTTGTGGTTTGTCTACCCTTCAGGCCTTGGTCTCTTTTTCATGCTACGTTTATCTAGCTGAGAGAATTACTTTTTATACGTTTGATGCGATCATCATTCTCTTCGCCAGGTTTATAGAGGAAATTTCTCCTGATGTGGTGGAGAAGTTCCGAGATTTTGCTCAAGCGCTTGTGGAAAAACTTGGAGCTGTTGAAGCATTAGCAGCTGCACTGGCGCACATCTCCAACACGAAAGAGATCAAATCGCGTTCTCTCATAACAGGCGAAGAGGTGTGTTTTATGCAGTAAATGTTATTAAGCCGGTAGTGAGAGTTGATTTGTCCTACAAGGACTATTTCCACCCCGTTAAGGCCGACATTGACTGGCGATTCAACAATATGTGGGAAGGCATTATCCCAGGTGGCGCTGAATGTGATGATGACTTCCGCACGGGTTGAAGAAACGCCAGTCAAGATGGAGGTTCTCTTCAGGACTAGCCACCCTCCAACCATCACATTACATTGCAGCTTTGTAGAGCCTCAAGTTATTTCACTTGAATTGAAGAGTCCTCCAAGATTGGTCGTGAAAACTCGCGCCACCTTACGATACAAGTCTGGTAATATCCAGTCACGTGACACATTTAGACCAATCGCGCGCAATCACTGAAAAGTTTGTGATGGATTTTAGTCAAAGTATTGATGTTAAATTGTTCAGAAAATAATTAGGCTTCAGAGCCTTCTTATCTCCCAAAACTCTGATTGATAATTCTCTCCTAGAGCGCTCGTTAATCAAGATAACACTATTTAGCCGAGAAGTTATTTTAAGCTATTCGTGTCACCCATTTAGTGTAGTGAGATCGTGAGGAGAGTGACAGAAGTTTCATATAACTCAATCCTGGTCGTTGCTTTTTTTCTTTTGTTTCGATTTGTTTTCGTTTCGTGTCCCAGGGTTTCATCACCTACTTATTGAAATCTCGTTTGGAGATGTCTGGAACAGGCTTCATATGGAAGGCACTGGAAACGTTCCCAGAGATAAAAAGACATGTGCGCAACATGAGACTCTGTCAGGACAGTATGGTAAGGAGCATTTGATTTGTGTTACATCACTTGTCAGGGCGTGAAATTAATTTTTTTTTCGGATAGCCACTTGGCTCCTAAATTCTTCAAAGTGGTAGCCAATTCAAAAAAAGTTGGTCGCCATTTTCAAAGACAAACAAAACCTTTTTTTACGCTGTCAGAGTTCTAGATTGACCTTCAAAAATTAAGTTAGGGAAAAGATCTTTAAGGAGCTACGAAGTGGACACTAGGATGGTTGATATACAACGTTTAAGCTCAACTAAATCCAAGATGGCGTCTAGTTATCGATAGGGATGCATGTGCTGCGTTTTGGAAACAAACTTAACGACGAAGTTTAATTCACTATATCTCTTGGAAAGGTTATGATAAAACATTCTAGTCGCCAATTTGGCGACTAATTTTCAGGATTTGGTCGCCAAAGTGAAAAATTTAGTCGCATTGGCGCCTGTATTAGGCGCAATTTCACGCCCTGACTTGTCGTATCTCTCAATAATCACGTGCGCTGTGATTGTTTATTTTAGCCGATGTACTCTACATGCTTATTAAACCCGTTACGACCCAGCATCAGTTTACATATTCTTCATACTATTCTCGATACATTTCGCAAGGTGCTGACAGGGAGAATTTGTTGAACAATCAAGAGCTTCTTTGTTTGCTGATCAGTTCCTTTATTCTCCTACCTTGACCTTTGATTCATGAGTGATATTGTAATGAGAAGTTAGATGCTAGTCACTCTCAGGGGTCCAAAGGTTGATAAACCTTATTTGAGCTAAATACCAATTGTCCAGTACAGATCGCGTTAAATCCTCGGGAGGTCTTATTCCTTCTCTTAAATTTGAAGGCTGAATCCAGGCGTGAATTTGAGTAATGTGTTTAGATTGTAATCCCTAGAGTACCGTCAAATGGTCTCCTACGAAACAGTAAGATAACAAGGCGAGTAAGGTCTATTTTCGCTCGATCTCGTTGAATGAACCGCCCTATGTGATAAAATTTGTTGGACCCCAGTCTGACTTGATGTTTTTCCGAAAATATAGTTACACAGAAGAATTTTTGTACCCACTCCAATTCCATAGTTATCAAAGCGGTAGAAATAACTCAGGGATAAAAAAACATTTTCAGAATTGGTTTTGCTTTCTCTGCCTGGAAATTGTATTTCTATTTTATCTTTAGAAGCCTCGCTGAATATAAGCACGATGACGGGGGATTTTTTTAACAAATTAATCTCTTCTGCATAATACCCTTAACTGACATACTCTCTTCTGTATTTGATAATTGCTATCTGAGCTTTGCGGTTACTCTCGAATCATACGAAGCTAGTTAATACAAAGTACGTGGTGCATTATTGCTTTATTGTGTTTTTTTTCGTGGGGGGGGGGATATCGACATTTTGTAATTCTTTTTTTCCACGAATTTCACTGAAGTATTGTATTTGCCGTGTACTCGACAGGGTGTGGTAATGGATGTGCCTGATCATCTCGAAGATTTAATGGGGGTAAGTTGGGAATAATTGATCGTGCCTCATCACTCAAAGGCTGGTTTTCTCAAGCGAAGGAATCAGAGTCAAATCCGTTTTCAGATGCACAGAGCTACGATTACGGTGTAATGAAAATCACACCAACAGAATGGGAAGCAGAATATCCATACTGCTAATGACTTCGTCGCTTGTGATCTTGAGAATGTTATATAAGAAGCTGAACTACGCACGCATTTCGATTGATTCGCATTTATGATCGAATGGAGGACAGACGCAAAGATGGCGTCACCATTGACAATTGTTCCGTGTTTTTATCATATCAACAAACAGATTCTGTGTTGTTGTGGGTCTGTACAGTAATAGATCACAGAAGACGTGAAAATGCGGCTGCGCTTTGTACTTTGGCACTTTTTGACGTTATCCGTGATCTATTGGCAAACAGACGCACAACAATATGGAATCTCTTTTTTGCCGTATTTACTATCAAGATCGAGACGCTTTTTTTTTAATGAAATTCAATCAAAAGGAAATATTGGGAAACGAAATAGAATAAACTGATTTATCTTTCGTTTTGGAAAAATCTTAAGAAACCTTTCCTTGAAATCTTGTACACAAGATGAGAAATTTGAAGTTTTCCCTTTTTTAATCTACGACGCGTGAAATGCAGTTTTAAGTATTTGTGAAGCGTGAATTTTTCTGAACTTTGTGCGTGAAACAGGATCCCCCTTTGCAATCCTCTTACCTTATTTATATGAGATAATTTCTTTTTTTACGCTTAGGTTGAAAATCTTCTTAAGGAAAGGAGAATTTCTGCTGTAGAGAAAATATCTGAACTGCCAGAGTTGAGGCAAAGACCGCAACGCAGTGACACGAGAGATACGAGGTCGATTCGCAGTTACGGTGAAATGGATCGAAGATTTGGTGCAAAGACAGGCGGTTTTCGTGAAAGACGTGAAAGTTATGGTGGACGACAGTCTTTTCGAAGATCTTCTGAATTTGGAAGAACGTCAGAAGTTCTGAAAAGGTGGCAGTAACGACTCAAACGAACTGTGGCTGTGAAATTTTGGGGAGGACAGTCAGGTTTCATTCACGCAGGGCGTTAAATTTCAGCTGGTTCCTCCAAACGAGGTTTTAGCTTTAAAGCATATTATTTGATCGAATTTTCCTGTGAATAATTTCTTTCTGAAATGTATCTTGTGTTCAGTGATCATTTCAATCAGATTCCTTTCATGAATATTTCTTGGCTTCGTATTGAAAGGAATCAAGACATTGTTGAAGGTTCAGTCCATATTGCAAACGCTGTTTCTAAAGTTACTATAAGCTTTTTACTAAAATTATTTTACCTTACGTAAATTAGTATTTGAATAACTTACTGAAAGGTGTATGTTATTATTGAAAAAAAGAACTGCAAGCATATTAGTTTAATTTCGCTATTAACTTGAGCGCGACTTTCCCCACTCTGCTAGAAGCTCACCAATAAATTTTCTGCCGCTCAATTCGCAGATAATGTGGTAGTTGGTGGTTTATCCGGGTGACCTTAGGTAAAGTTAACGCATTTACAAAACCTGGTGATGAGAAAGTTCAATCTTGAGCCCAAACATCCAATGGAAAGGAAAACGAAACGTTCAGTGCCGCCTAGTTTTAAGGTTTATTTCAAGTAAAACACGCAAATACACTTCGGTTATGAACAAAAAGGATCAATGTATCTGAACAACTGCACACCTAGCCCCCCCTAACTCAACATCAACCCTAACTTGTTGTCAGTTGACTGTTGTTGGGTTAGGGGAGGGGTGGGTGTGCATTTTCTTAGATAATGACGTAGATGAGATAGCAACTTAAGTTCTTAGCTGTGTAATAAGAACGGTAGGACTTTGAATTTTGGTGCTTAAAAGGGAGGCTACAAGGTTTGTTTTGCCATCCCACTTTTGACAATGTTTGGAAAAATTTAAGCTACCTAGAGAGATCAGATATTGAAATTTTTCTTCTGTGTATTTACTCAACAGGTTTTCTCTCCCATTTTCCCAAGAGTATATTAAGGGCGCCATTTGTACAAAACTGTGCATCTACACTCCGCTAAGGCATCTCCCCACCAAATCCTTTTAACTAAAAACTTGTCATATTCTCCTAACCTGTCTTCACGACAGTGTACTGATTCTTTAAGTAATAGACTGCACTCTTATCGGTTCACTGGCATAGTAAACCACTTGGTATGTTGGGTGTTCCACATTGAGTGAGCTTCCAACATCCCTTGAGGGTTATTACATGGTAAACCAATGGAGAGTGCAGTCTATTGCTTTTATAAAATAAACTTCAATATTCCATGGCTTTACTAGAGCCATAAATAATATGTCTGTGGCCAATCAGTGTGCTTTTACTCTCTCAGTTACTTCATAATTATAAATATTGTCTAGTCACAATTAAATGTTAAACATTTTTCTGGTACCCAGTCCTCTATCAATTCACCCATGTCAGGTTACCTCTTTTCTTGTAGAAATTGTCTGGAGTAATCTTGTTTTCGTGTCTAAATTCTAACTCTTTATCCTGAAGAACATTCAAATTTCCATTCACCTTCTTTCCAACTTCTTGAATTTAGCCTCTGTAAACAAATGGGAAAAAGATTATAAGGGCCATTACATTCATCATTCGCTCCATATTCAGACCAGTGGCAGGGAATGATTAACAATTTTGGCAAACTAACAATGGAATACCCATTTTTTCGGTCAACACCACTTCCCACGACCTTGTAGCAGGCTTCTTTTTTTCCCATGCTCTTGGACCCACAAATACCAAAACATCGCATCCCCTTCCCAATTCATATTTCCTACTTGCAACTGAGGAGGGTCTTCCCCTTGTTGGGGAAAATTCTGTGTGTTTCTACCCAACAATTAGACGATTTTACCCTTGTCCCATGAGTGATCAGGACAGAATTCTTTACAGTATCAAAATATTTTTCAAGCAAACATATGATGAGATTAAAGAAGAATGTCAATCGGGGGATTATAAGTTGATCCTAGACCAAATTCTCTAAACTAACATCACAAACTTATGGAAGACTGTAACAAGAGTTAGTGGTGAGATATTGCCAGGGAAAGAGTTTAAACCTTCATGTAATAAACAACAAAGTCTTACTTGCCCATAGAGCAGTTTTCAACTGAGTGTTGAAAAACCAACTTCAAAGTTATTACATCTATCAATCAGAACACAGCTTCTCTTATTAACCAATAATAAGAAATCACAGTTTAAAAACAGACAACCTGCCTGAGGTGCATGAAAATGTGGTGACCAAATTGAGATTAGTTTTATTTTTGCATTTAATTGGTGGAGATGGTGTGAATTTTGAAGACCAATCACAAAGCAAAGCAAAAATAAATCAATCCAGGATCACTTTAATTTGTTATTGAACTGGAAACTGCTTTCGTATCAACCACTATAATTTAACATTCTTCCTCACCTAGTCTCTTAGAGTAAGCATCCAGTCTGTACGCGGCTTGTTCAAGGCTTGCAACACTTTCCTCTACCTTGTCGATCTGCTCTAAATATGGTTCCAGGTTTTTATCTTAAAAGGAAATTTCATAAATCATTTTATTTTGTTGTTAAAAGTTCTTTTTCCTCTCTTACAACAACATATTTGTTACACAAAGTTGCCACAGGTTAGGAAAAAATCAGGGAAAAGGCAGGGAACATCAATCAATAATTTGTTTATCTTTTTTAGTTTAGACCATAATGTAAAAATGGAAAATATATCAATGAATGGATTACCCCCTGTGCAAATTTAATTTGCTTACAGTCTATTTTATTTTTATCACAGCTAAGTCATGAAAAAGTTAGAGATTTTTGCAGTGAAGAACTTACATTTCTTGTCTAATTCCTCCATGACTGTGATAAGTGTCTTTGCAGTGTCTGACATTTCACTGTACTTTGTAATTGTCAGCTTATTCAGCTTTTCAAGAAGAACATAATCTTGTATTGAACCTAACAACAATATAAAATTAGGAAATGGTCAGAGTAATCTTTGGAGAAGCAACCTATACAGCATGATCCTAATTAGCGAATGCTTAGCAATGAGCTGAAGTCATCAGAGGGTGTTGGGTAAAGTTCTCACCATTTTTTTTTTTTTTTTTTGGGAGAAACCATGGTAGAGTGTAAACAAGAAATCACTACTTGCTTCAGAAAATTGGCTGTTTTAATTTACAAAAAGGGGAAAAATAGGAAAAGAAAAGGTGTATAGCCTGCAAACAGGCCTCCATTATCAGCTCTGCAAGACAGGTATTTCTCTGTCACAGAGACATTTAAGGCGAGTCTGGAGTCTGGAACTAATTGTCATTGCCCAAGTTATTATACTTTCCTGCAGACAACAAGAGCAACACACCAAAGTCCTAATAATGATATCCTGCTCACAACAGGTATGAAGATATGGGATGCTATACACCTTTCCCTCCCCCCCTCCTTGGGATCACATTAAATCCATCATGGCGTCTACTAAATTGTAGTATTCCAATCCCAAAAGTATCAATCGCATTAACTGTGTCAAGTGAATATCTTTTTACAGATCTACGGCTTAACTCATTAATTCCTAGGAAAGATTAGTATCTAATTTCTCACAAGAGTATTACCCTGAATCAAACATTAACGTCACGATAGTCACGATAGCCAAAGAGGCACTTGATTGTTTGAAAAACTCTTCTTGTTTGTTCCATAGCAAATATATAGAGAACAGTATGGAGAATATACATACTGATGTTAGCTTAGGTGTATAGGGGTTAACAAACGACCATACGATTCACAATTGACAACAGTTTCGACATCGGTTTTCATGGGTCGATTGGAATTTATTCATATATAGTAATATTCTAAGATACGTAAACAGCAAATTTTGTACCATCTGAACGTATTTTATGACATTAATCCAGCTTACCAGCTAGTTCGCCGTTCAAATATTCGGTGATCTTGGCGAAGGCCTCCCTGCAGCAGTCTTTTAAAGACATCACTTCTCCGCCTGAAGCTTCCGATTTTAGTCCTTCGACAGGCTCTTCTGGTTTCGATTCATATGAAGTATCGTGTGCGTCTTTATCGTCACTGCTAGCTTCGTGTTTTGGAGGTGTAGCGTTTGGTTCCATTTTCGCCTCCGTGTCCGCCATATTGGATCTGTAGTGTGCTTCCCAGGTCCTTTTCTTCGTTTTAACAAATCCCGGTTCTCACGGACAGGTGTGTCACGGGTCAGAGAGAAGAATAGGAAAATTTAGCCTCGTGGTATTTCTGCTTTTAGCAACTCGTGGCAATTTGTAGAGCCCATCAAGTTCTAGCTTACCAGCGGCCATTTAATCCCTTTGTGCAAATAACAGGATAGAGAAACTGGATACATGCAGAAGCAGTTTTTTTCGTGGGAGGCAGGAATGAAGGCAAGAAACAGAGGAAACACAAAGTTGTGGGTATTTGCTATACATAACTCATCACCGTTTCTAAATAAAGAACAGCTGACAGGAGAGAAGGAAATGGGAAAAAGTAGATTTTCACCCCAGATTCTCCTCTGACCCAATAAAGGTACTTAAAATATAGAAATGTCAGCACACAGAATCCCTTTTGATGAAACAATATATAAACATCACAGTGGGGAATATGTAATTATATTTTATTTTCAGTAAAAGCTATAATACATATGGAGTTCATTTCTATTTTTTTATATACTAAATTGGTTCGAATCATGATTACAGTGTGGTTTACTAAGCTTGAGTTCAAATATTTATACACATTATAGCACCAGTTGAATATTGCAAGTTGTTCTTTTTTTCCTGTACTGATTTAGATTCAGAGAATTTTTTTTTTTTACCCACAAGTTTGAAAAGAATAGACCTTTTTGTAATCTTAATGAACTCCTTTTAAAATTAAAATATTTAGATTATTGGGGTAAAAATCAGATAGCTCTGCATTAACCATTTTCACAGTTTTATCAGTATTTATCTTCTCTATACTGTTCTCTATAAATTCCCTATGATATTTACAAGGGGAATTTAACCAAACTTCTTGAGATTGCTACAATTTCCTTAACTCCCATGACCTTAATGTTTCATACAGGGGTGATATTTTTGGGAGAAACCAGATACTTATCACTCTTAGATGTTGAGGGTTTAATATGGGAATTCTTAGTCTAGATGATTTTTGACACAGTCACTGAAATTGTTAAAATTATGATCATCCTTTCGCAATTGATGCAATACTTATCAAAAGCCTTTAAGCTGGCTGTAATTTTTTCAAATGATAGCAATTGTGTCAAAAAGTAATATTAAGTAAATTTAACAGAGTTATAGATACTTAAATCTCTAAGTGTTGGCCTTTGTCGCACTTTGCCTTAAGTAACATTTTCATAACATTATCAATTGGTAGAATATAAACACTTCAAAACTCTTTGAGGCAGCTGATTTTGTTAAGAAAACATTGAGTCATGAAGTGTTTCCACCCTGAACTGTTGATCTTGCTCCTTCACCTGCACATAGAAACCGCAAGACATTTATCGAATGAATAATTATTAATAGCCATAAATTCTTGATATTGAGTTTTAACATGTGTAGGACAGTTAAATATGAAGTTAGGAAAGCAGGTGCAACCTCATAGCATGGTATGAACTAACTAATTATAATATATTTCCTGCCTGGCCTGAGGAACATTTGATAACTGTAAATGGTAGAGATGGTAGAGTCACAGAAACATTTTCAAAATGCTCCAAGTTGCAACCTACTGGTATTCATAAAAAATATACTATTGTAGGCCCTTAGTCATAAGCAATTGCATACAAAAAAAAAATAAATAGAAACCTGGCTGCCATTCAGATCTGTAACTCAGGCATCCAAATCAAAACAACCTCATAAATATGGTTCTGTTTTTGGATGTCCCAATGTGCTGATCTAGTGGGATGTTGTTTGAGATGGCCTCTTTAGATATACATGTGACAGGGACTGGACTCTCTGTTTAAAACTGCAGGGTAGCACAATAATTACTCTCGGAAAAGACCCTTACTATCCCCCTGCCCACCCCACTGCAGTCTGTATGCTGAATTTAGCCAATTGTCTGGGAAACCATACCCAATGCTTAGGACCAAGTTAATCAAGTAGCATACTACCCTTAAAACTTTGTACAAGACTATTAGCTTTCTGCTGAATTGTTTCAAGTTAATCAAATAGCAAACTACCTTTAAAACTTTCATTTCTTCATACTTAGGATCATCTGTAGGCAGCTCATGCCTACACATAGGGCAGCTGTTGGTCTAGAATGAAGTGGGAAAGTTAATAACTAAAGCCCCTGACAATCCTTAATGGGAGTAATCTATATGGAAAAAAAGACAAGGTCTAAACAAATTATTTTTGGCAAGGTCATCACCATTATGATGATATGTCCAAAAACAGCACAAAAGTATCACATCTCTTATAGAGGTATAGAGTGCTCCTCCCTGGAAGAGTAATCAAATTAACAAATACACTATTCCATGCTACTGTATGTCTGATTAGTAAAAAATCACAAATGACAATCAAGAGCTTCTTAAGATGGTGATCATTTTCTTTATTCTCATGACCTTGACATTTGATTCCAGGGTGATGTTGTAAGGAGAAATTAAATGCTAGTCACTCTCAGGGATCAAAGTGTTAAGTAACTGTTAAGTCATGTGACTATTACCTTGTTCAGCCACGGCAGAATGCAACTCTTATGGAACATATGATCACAAGGAAGTTTCTTGACAAGTTCACCAATCTGACATCATAAAAAGAAGAAAATAGTTCATGTTTGATACAATGATTCCTATTCACTTTGTAGGCGTCATTTCATCATAAAAGAAAAAGTTACAGTAGGCCCTTCTCGGCTTGCGTCACTCATGCTTAACACTGTGGAGGAAGAGAATTCAAATTACTCACCTTGAATTCCACTTGACATATGGGACATGAACAACCTTTAACTAGAAAGAGAACACATAAAAGATAAACATTATTCTTTAAAAGAACACATTCATAAGTTGCCAGACTGTGTACATGTGCAAGCACATTGCAGTTGTAGTAATCAATAAGTTAACCAACTAATACTTTTGAGTAGAAGTTGATAGATTGATCTTCACCTCAAAATGCAGCTTGACTTTTCCTCAGACATTGGAAAATCAATCAGAGATGTTCTGTTGTAACTTTTCACCACAATTGGCAGTAATGTTGCAATCATATCAACCAATTTGCTGTTGTCAATAAGAGTACAGACAACACTGCTTGCATCAACACATCACACAATGCCTTTATCATTGTTTTTATCATCTCTCAAACAAGAAAGACTGTTTTATTTGACATCAATATTGTCAGTGGTATAAAAACAAATCAAAAGCAGTCTAGCATGGTCTGTATTCTTATCAACAAAGATACTTGTCATCACAGCAGTCAAAATTTTTTGCTGAATCATTGTGCTGCATCTCATAATTCCACAACATTTTGACCGCTGTGATGACAAATATTGTTGTTAATAAGAGCACAGACCGTGCTAAACTACTGTTGATTTGTTAAACAGCAATAGCAAGAGAGAACAAAATTAAACAATCAATAACTTACCGATGTGTTCAGTAGTAATAGGTATGGAAGGTAAAGATTCAACAACTTCTTTAGAAGCTGGTGGTGCTTGAATTTGATCAAATGCCATTCTGTTAAAAAAAAGACAATCATAAAATTAAAGAAGAATTTGAAGAAAATGCTCAAATTGACCCTAAGCCTTTTCTCTTGTAGAATGATTGGCATCTAATTTCTCCTTACAGTACCACCCTCAAATCAAAAGTTAAGGTCATGAGAATAGAAGAAATGATCACCAAAAGTTCCTGATTGTTCAACAAATTCTCCTTGTCAGTACCAAAGGAAATGTAACAATAGCAGTGTGGAGAATATTTATGCTAATATCAGGGTCTAAAGGCTTAAATTAAATGTTTGAGAGAAATACAAACCACAAAAATTGTTCATGTCCTCAAAATTAGGTTAAATATAAAATAATATTACAATGACCACCAATGAGCTTGCGAGTGTTGTGTTTAATTTTATTTTGGCTAAAAGAAGTCCATATCAGTTAAATTTCTGCTTTCTTTTGTCCCAGATGATCGTATTGTAATAGATCTCAGACATAGAAAAATTAAAATTAGTTTATAAAGTTTTATACTGGTCATATACAATTGATGACATATATTTCAGTTTGATACAATTTCTGGTTAAGATGATTTGAAACTAGTTTGATTTGTAACATCCAAAATGTCCCAGGGATATGTTTGTGTACCCAGAGTACCTAATATAAAAAAAAGTAGCCTGATGGTCCATTATACCCAATGACAAGAACAAGTCCAACCACATTTCAAATGCAAGGAGTATTTCAAACAGCAGAGTCAAGTTTTACTTTTAAAAGCAAGTAAACTTATAGAGGAGTGTTACACTAACAAATTCTCGAGTAACTTCCTTTCTAGCACATAATTAGCTCGACAATTGAAAAATACAAGAAATATTGATCCAGATTTAGCAAGAAATTACCTGGAAATTTCAAGGATGTCACTTGGAGACAGGAGCATTCTGTAATATAACACAAATATAAGGCATGGAAGATGAAGGCATGGGTGCTGATGGGCCAGTTTTCTGGTAATGTTATTTGTTATAACATCACAGGAAAAAAATTGATGCAAAAAAAAAACTTATCTCACAAAAAACCCTTTATTTAACTCTGATGATGCCTTCTACTGTGGTTTTCAAAAAACATTACTCACTATTTTCAACAACAAACCTTTTCAGGACTACTACTAAATGGGTAAAGTTAAATTATAGTGTCAAACAATCAACATAATTAGTCAAACCAAATTCAGAACACCATTTGTTAAGTAGGATTTCAAAGAAAGAAATTCGTAACTTATTCATAAAATTTAATAGTCAATCTTCAAACATTCAATCCATCAAGGTAGTTGGAAAGAATGTGATGGCCATTCCAAATTCTGCTGGACAAATTCCACTGATTCAAACTTCAACCCTACCATGGACTTAATTCTCTTAGTCTACTCTCTTATGGAAGGTTTGACAGTTAAACAGGGCCTAAGATGATTAGAGCACAGGATTCACAATGTTATTCCTGGGTTAAACCATTTATCATATTGCAGTCTACCTCAGGGTTGAGATTACAACTCAGATCACCTAGCCTCAGCAGAATTATACCAGAGAACCGGTCAAAAGATGTGATTGCGCCAATGTATTAACAACCCAGTATAATTCGTCAAGGTCTTGAAATCTGGCTTACAAGTTTCAGAACATTTTTCGCATTTTAGGACCCTGCACGGACCTAGGATACATAATTATAAATAAAAATACCTTGCAAGCTCAAGGAAGAAATCTGGATTGCTAGTTCGGTCGGTAAGTTCGTGTTCGTCAAAGTACGAAGCCATTTCTAGCTTTCGGATGACTCAGCAACGTAAGTTATGTTCACCACTAAATTCCCTAATTGTCCCTCCTAATTCAGAGTAAAAGGTGTATATATCTTTTCAGTTTCCAAATAGAGTGAAGCATACACTGAGAGGGAGGAAAATGCTTCCTGTGATGAGAAAACAAATTTAAAAGCAGAGAGAGACCTTTATCATTCAGAAATCCACCAGACTACCACCATCTTGTTTTGATTCTACTTGGCGTGGTCACCTATTCCTAGTTCCCAGGGTTTTCATTGAGTATTCATTCCCGGTTCCAGACTTCCCTTCAGTAGTGGTAAGAGTTCACAACAGCCTTTAGCTACCTCTCGCGTAAAAGGGAATGATCCAGACTGATCCCGAAAAAAGGCGT